AAATATTCGTTAAAGTATTACAAAATATGAGATAAACAATAAAACAAATTCCAAATTTGAGCTTCCAGGATGGAAACATTCGTTATTAAAACTTTTATGGCTCTAGGTACCGTTTTTTATCACAATGCGAGAAACATACATACATACATTTATGCAGGTTCTTCATTATTTAACCTTTTTAAATGTAATACAGGGCTGTAATACTTGGAGGCAACAGTTTGAAAAGCGAATCAACGCAGAAAGTGAATCAACGCAAAATGCCAAAACGAAATTAATAGCCCCTCTGGACTAACGCCCTTTGGGCTAATTAGTTCGTAACTAATAATTTCATTTTATTCCACTTCAAAACTTTTTGGTAATGCTTTATTATTTATAACAATTATTTACATAAAAATACATTGTTTTCCTGCTCACAGTTCAGTAATACACGTAGTTTCTTTTCTCATTGACTAATATCATTATATTTATATCTCTAGCAAATATTTCTTATTTATATTGAATAAATTAAGTTCAATCAGTGAGAAAAGAAAACTAAAATATGAACATAAAAAAAAGAAAAATGAAAAAAGTAGATATTTTATGTAAGTAAATAATCGATCCAAGTAAGAAAGCATTAAGAAAAATTTTAAACTGATATAAAATAGTTCTTATTTAAGAATAAATATTATTTAGTCTTCATTCATTACCGTGTTTTCTGTTGTGTGCTCATTGTGTTTCGTTCTTTTATTGCTTCATCTTCATTCATGTTCTTCGCCGTTTCGTTTAAAATGACTAAAACGAATGAAGACTAAATGTGTATTCACTATGTTTCGTTCTCTTATTATTTCATCTTCATCAGTTAAAAAACGTTACGTTAATAGAAATAAAAATCTGAATCTGTTTTACAGTTTTTAAATCTAAATGCAGTATATTGTAATAGGGCTCGTTAGAAACCTCTTAATTACTTTTAACAGTTGCTTTTTATATTGCTGTAAGAAAAATAATTGAACGGAAGAAAAGAAAAAAATTAAAGGAATATGAATCGCTATGCCATAACTAAACAAACTGCAAGAACATTTAATGTTGGAAAACCATTTAGTATGAAACAGTATTCTGTAATAAGGCATGACAGCACAAGGAACAATTGTATTCATTACAATAATGCTGAAAATGTCGTTAATACCAATCAGATATATTGTAAATTTAGTGTATTTTGAATGATAGCAATTATATCTCTTATTAAAACCTTAAATAAAATTTTAAATTTTAAGAGCATTGCTTTTAAATTGTCCTATTTGTTAAGCATTTATAGAGTGATTAATTCTAAAAGGGCATTAAAGATCTTATGGTTTACCAAACGTCAACAGTATGGAATATGTATATTTCAAGGTCACTGGTAAGATATTAAAGATTTCAAGTTTCGACAATGGCAACACTTGGCCAATTTGCGTGGATGGCTAATGCATAGTAGCATTAGTCTAATGTAATGGTCTAAATTATTGGAAATATTTCTTTAAAGATGATTCTATTGTCAAAACTATGTTATGTCAGGCTAAAAGAATAAAAGAAAAGAAAGGTCAATAATATAAAGACACAACGTTTTAGACTGTCATTATTTTGGAATGTACAAAACGTTTTAAGGAAAGCAATCTTCTTTCAAACTCTCAGTTAAATTCCCTTGTGAAACTAACGATGTTAATTATGTAATTTAATTATGATGCTTCCCACATCTCTTTAGCTACATAATTTAATATATATGATTTCAGTAAGAACTTGGAACAAACAAATATTTTTTTCAAGCCAGGAAACATAAGTTCATCAGCAGAATTATTATTACATTTGTATTATTTGTAATTTCTTTAATTACAAGCAGATGCATCTCACACATTTTTTATTTTTCTTCCTTGAAATTATTAGATCTTACCGTCAACAATTTCTTCGAAAACTATAGAAGAAATGCATAATACATATTTTAATATCAATTATTCAAGTTTAATTCTATCACAGACATTTTCAGCCATTTGAATATATATATTAGTGAAATCGTCATTTGTATTAAGTATATTTGAAAAATAAAGGGAAGTAATAATTATCCTTAATTTTACTGAAACACTCTAGCTGAGTAAGCCTACATGAAGTTTCTTTTAACTTTTCTTTCGGAATTATTCTTTAATATATAAATTCTGTTCTCTCACACTTGTGTCTAATATCATTCTGAATACCGACAGATACTTAAATTTGTTATTTAATTTGCGAAAGATTTAGTTACTGCCTGCTAATCTTACCTTACAAATATCACATAAAAATTACGAGCAGATCTAGATTTGACCGTTATTTTGTATATATATTTATATATTGGTTTCATTTTCTCAGAACTGATTCTTGGCATAGATCATGTAAATTGTCTTGAAAAAGGTAGAGAATATATTATAAATTTCATTGAAATTTTAATTTTACACTCTTTTTCTCAAGTTTCATATAAGGATATAATAATATAATACATACATTTCATTTAAATCCACGCAATAATTTAATATTTGGGTCGTCATCTTTTGAACTAGAAAATAAATATTTGAGTTTACTACAAAACATAAAGATAATGATTATTTATTTTCCCTATTTTTCTTTCTGGGGAAGAAAAGTTGTTTCTTTCTTACTTTTGTATACACGAAACGTGAAAGATTACGCGTATCAGAAATACTATATCTTGCAAATCCTGAAATTATTAGGAAATGAATTCCTCAGATTATTAGGAAGAGTATAAAATATAATGTTTTTAATAATCTCCAAGGTACTATGATGCATAATATGATTTCTAATTTTATATCAGCCTCGAGAATGAGCTAGATGTAGCGATGTAGAGAAAGATGCTTACCGAAAATTGCAAATTTTTTATGAACCATGAATATATAAACCGCCATGAACATATATACTATTCCATTATCAAATAATGATTCATTTTCTAATAAATATGAGAAATAAGAAGAAAAAAACGAAAACATTTTCATAATAAAAAAGATAAAATGGTTCACCTGAAGACTGAGAAATTTGTCAATTCGCTGCCAAAGTTTGAATTCTACCAAATTATCAGTTCTTTGGTTTTACCGTCTTTATGACTGGGTTGTGCATTCCTTATCAGAGTCATAATCGCATTTAATTTGCAAAGGCTAATCGTAGGATAATTTACTTCGTATTCAGGAAAATTTTTATTATTGAAGTAAGGAAATTAACACGTCTCTTATCCTACTGTAGCATACATGCTGAAAGACAGATGTTTCACAAGCACTTTTTGTACTCTATCGAGAAAATCTTCGAGTCTAGTAAAAATTCACGAAAACCTCGTGAATATCAATATTCAGAGTTTTAGATATTTGGGCATAAATAGGGAGCACCTTTGCAGAAGCAGTAATAACTACTGTAGTACTAACGAACTGTAGTAGTACTTACGAATGTACGTGAACTAATATTTGGATAAAACGAAGATTTGGAGTATATGCAATCAGCCTCAATATCATAAGCCAATTTAAACCCCACGTTATCTCTTAAGACGTCATGTATAATGCCCTCTTTTACTACGAAATAAATTTTTTCACTTAAAATGGAAACTTTTAAAACATGACATCTAAACATTCGCTTTCTCTGTGATATTCTCTTTCTGTCTCTCTCCTTCTCTTTCTCTATACATATATATGTTACTGCGAATGTTACAGAGTTTGACTTCTTTTGGGAGCATAAAATATATCAAACTCTTAACAGACGTAGAACAAATTATTGCGGGGTCGAAAGTCACAACAGACACTTGAAAAATTTTAAAACAATCCTTTTACTTAAACATGAACTTTGAACGTAAGCACGCCTTGTGCTTTATAAAGCAACCACCAACTGTGGTGATGAAACATAAGTAACAGTCAAATTCAAATTATCTAGAAATAATTTGAATAATTATTAAAATTAAAGCGTAGGCTGGTAGTCAAAGACTACATAGTTATATTTAAATCGAAATTGGCTCAAATGCTAACCAGTGTAAATATTTAAATGTCGGCAGCAATTTACGTAAAGCCGAATAATTACAAATTTATCAAGAATAGCAGAACTAATAAAACGTGGCCTGGAGAGTCAAAAACACTTTGTTGCTTACAATCCCAAAACCTCAGTTTAACTAAATCATTTACATACCTCTAGTTCATTTATATTTTACATCGATACGGGAATGGAAAGGAGAAGTTAAAGGGTGAAAGTAAAAGCTGAAATTTTAAACAACTGGTTAATTTAAATAATAACCTTATAAAGTGAATACATTTTGGAATTTCTTCTTTGTCGAATTAACTGTAACAGTCAATTCTGAGTTAAGTGCGAATTAAAATAAAAATTAAAATAAACGCATTATAAAATTTTAGAAAGAATTATAGTTAATGGAAAATATTGATATTTAGGAGAAATGCATACTTAATCTCTCATTCTTAAACAGAGAGTCTTACTCATTAGCTCAGAAAAACATTTTCTTGCATTTCGATACGTTGAAAGCCTGTTATGATATTTACATTCGAAAAAATGGTGTACGCTTTTATCATGTCATTTGAACATAATTTGATGTACTCAATGCATTTCGATGTAAAGGTACAATGATAAGCATATGTTCGATATAGATGTGTGCTGTAAATAGCGTATAAAATCTGCCTATTTCTGAATAGATAAAAATATCTAATGAACTAAATCTTTGTTACTCGTAGGTTTCAATAGAAACATGAATGACAGATCATGAGTCCCATCCACACAGGGAAAATAAATATAACTTTAAATATTGCAAACGTCCAAATAGATTAAAATTATATATATGAGTAACACAGCTGGTGCTTCTGGCTCTAACAAGAACAGAGCAAGGATCCCCATCCATAAGCTCCTTCTTCGTATATCAAATTAATATACTATAATAAATTTTCTTGAACTGTTTTTGGCCAGATCGTCCCAGAATTTCTGAGAACCAACTCTTTTCTACGTTCCAATGCTGTATGAACAATTATCTACTCACCTCTCCTTGTACCGGCGCAGAGCCTGTGTACAGCGAAATTGCTCGCACAGCTGGCAGCGAAGGCTACGCCCTGTGTGCCACTAAGGGCGAGGAGTTGAGTGCATGTCAGTGGGCGCGTACGTCTGGAACTTCCGCTAGATATCCTTCTCCTCCTGGGTTCGATGGAAATGGGCACATGTGGAGACATCGAGGGTTCTTTCGTCATGTCTTGAGGCAACGTCGACACTAAAAAATCAAATTAAAAAAAAAAAAAAAAAAAAAAAAAAAAAGACATGAAGCTTGAAGCTAAAATTGCCAGCTGAATTCTACATGTCTGTAATCATATATAAAATCTTTTATGGGTATTAACGTTAGAAGCATGCTTATGTAGATTTAATGCAAAACGCTTTTAACACACCGAACTAAACGTACACACATAATTAGGAAAAAAAAAATGTCAGAGTTTATTTTATGAAACATCGTATATGTCCACTATGTTCCCGAAAGATGGGTGCAAAACTGTCTATTTGGTATTATAAAGAACTTACGTGAATTATAATTAAGAGGAAATACAACACATGTGTTACAATTACCATTTACAGCATCTACCTAGCATTTACTTTGCCGTGATAAACACAAATAGGAGAACCATAAAATCAAGTGCCGCTCTTTCAAAAAGTAAATAAGATATTACCGAAAATTGAGTAAATAGAGAATTATTCAAATATTAAACTTTCTGCAGATGTTATGAATGGAAGGTATTCTAAATATATTTTTAATGAAGAATTTCGTTATATATATATATGTATGGTGAGATTTTCCTTTTCTTTTATTCGAAAAAATTTCTAAGAGAACATATAAAATATATACTTATTCATATCATGCTAAAAATGGGAAGGCCAGTTTTTTGTAATGGCAACTGAAACTACTTTGAAGCTTAGCTATTATAAATTTCTAGATAATGGCATTTAAGCTTGATATAGTTTCATTTACTATGTTGTTATTTTAACTGTCTTTGGCTTTTATAATATGAGTAGATATTGAATATTGTAGCAGTCCCATATACCAAAATTTTCTCTGAAATATTGAAATTGAAAAACGGGTGATCTTATTATTTTTTTAGAAAACTTTAACTCAGTCCTGTACTTATAATTCTTCTCTGTTGATTATATATATATATATATATATAATAGATTCTGTAATACATTATGTTCTGTAATACATTATGTTGAATCCATAATGAACAGCCAAAATTTTGATGGCTTAGAGATGTTGACCAACTAGGCCAAAACGTAGAAAGCAAGTGCGTTATCTTCAGGGTGCAATCGTAATTCAGACAGAGTTAGTTTTGGTTCTCAATGTATTTTGATTGGATAATGAATACTGCTGTAAAATTACTATTGGCTGTTTGAGTTTTAGCCCATATATCAGAATTATGTAAGAGTCTTATGACATGGATTAATCTCGAAATGACGCAGTGCAGAGAGATTACCATTTTTAGCATAGAGAAGAAAAATTAATTTACGCTGCTAATTTAATCTTTTACATATTTTTTATTTTTCTTTCATATCCCTCTTTCAAAAAGAAAAAGGCGTAGCGACAGAGAAGCCTGTTTAAAGAAAAAGCGTTAAAGGAGTAGCAAATGAAGAAAAGCGTAAATCATAAAATTTTGGTCAACAATAATGAAATAAATAACTCCCATAATAATTTTTGAATATCAATTTTTAAAATAAATATAATTTTTTAGTCTTATTAAATTTTTAGCATTTCAGTCCAAAAGTCTTTTTGTTTTCCATTATTTCAGTCCAAAAGTCTTTTTGTTTTAGAGTCCACATAATTAGATTTTTTCAGAGAAGGCTTTGCACAGCTTTACATACAATATCACAGTTGTAAAAGTTTTCCACACACTACTTAGTTTGATAAATCACAACAAATTTCAAAATATTCAAAACATAATTAATTTTCATTATTATAACTTATATTTTAACATCATAAAATTGTATAATTAGTATTACTAAAATTATGACTTTTACTGTTATAATTAGATTTCTAATTTTTACATTTTACACAAAACTAGAAGACCCCTTTACAGAGTCTATAGGAATCGAACCTTTGCGGGGAAACCCAATGGATTTCAAATATATATGAAAAAAAATAAGGAATATGCAAAGATTAAATTAGTAGCGTAAATTAATTTCCCTTCTCTGTTTTAAAAATAGTAATCTTTTTGCACTGCGTCATTTCGAGATTAATCCATGTTATATATTGAGAACCAAAACTAACTTATTCTGAATTAAGATTTCACCCTGAAGATAACGCACTTACTTTCTACGCTTTGACCTAGCTGGACTGCAGTCTGTCTGCTTCTTTCATATTGCAAATTTATCAAATAAATAATTAAATAAAAGAAAAGAAAATAAATAAATAAATAAACTTTTGGAATAGGCATAAGTAATGTGCCAACTTGTTGGCGGCCGTAACACATTTGCTGAAATAAAAGTTGAATTAAATCTACCTCGACTGCCAAATTTCTTATTCATTGTGGATTGGAGTTTCAACATCTCTAAGCCATCAAAATTTTAGTTGTTCATTATGGATTCAACCGCCTGCGTTCTACGACAAAATTGATTACATATATACATGTATCAGGTTGGACATCTTCGCTAAAAATAAAGCTTACCAGAATCTCCATAGAAAATGTTTTCACTTCCGCTGCATGAGGGTTGGTCCCTGACGCTGGCAGTCGTCGGTACATCGAGGTTCGGCCTTCGAGGCGAACACATGAGATCGATGTCCGAAATCTCCGGACTCGCGCATGGAGCTTGAGGGCTCTCCGCGAACGGAACTTGTAGCACGGCCATTTCAGGCATCGGGTGCACGTGGGTCGGCGTCTTCCGGGATCCATGGTTCCCGTTCAGGGACGGCACGGAAGACCTTCGTTGTTTCGAAGACCGCCTTCCCGACGATGCAAACGAGCCGGAGTGCTGTTGTTGTTGCGATGAGGATCTTCTCGTTCTCCTCAAAGATATACTAGTTCGGCCGTACTCCTCTTTACGACGCTTTTTTCGGAAGTGCTTGTACCAAAGCAGGAGTCTCCTCCTTCCGCACCTGTAAAGATAATTTATATGATGAGATTTCAAGGAATTTCCTTGCGCCAGATTTCTCTTTCAGAGAGGTAGACACAGATATTGTTTTCAACAAATGGATTTGTTTTGACAGTAAATAAAAGAAATATTAAAAGATGAATTTAAGTGAACGGAATGCGATCATCCTTACTTACGTCATTCCTATGCATATATGAAAAAACTAGTTATGAGAGTTAAAAAAATATTTTTCATTTTTAATACATTTAACTAAATCCATGTATTTAAAAAATGTTTATATCTATATCTATATGTGTTACAAATTTTAGTCCATCGAAGGGTCAATAACGCGAAAGAAAATTAATGCCTTTCAGCTTACTGCGTAAGGAACATTCAGTCTAAGTTCTTGCTATCTTGCTTTCAAGGATTTTGGATCTCTCTTATGATATAAAATTGCATTATATATGTTTTTAAAATTTCTCTTCAACAGTTTTGATTCAAAAATTAATCATTTTTGTATTCTTCGATTAATTTTATAGAAAATGTAAAAAATTTCTAAATTAAGATTTTAAAGAACTTCATTTAGAACATTATTCGCTCTTTCCGATGATGCAAAAATCATAAATGTTAATAATAAAGCAAAAATGTAGGCAAAAATATCCTCGAAATTTTGAATCCCTTAACAATAAATCAAAAACACTATATGGAATTTTGAAAAATTCTCTGTGAAATGTTATGCACTAATCGCAAATGTATATGTGTGAAATTTTTCAATAAAACCAGCTTAGTAGAACAGGATTAAAAATGATTTCATGGTCTGACAAAAAATAAATACAAAAATAAGCAAACAAGTATATAATAAGGCAAATTTCAGTTTCGCTTTACTGCCAATAAATAAAAAAACAACAAACAAACAAACAAACAAAAACTTGTAAACGGATTTTATAGAACTATGAAAAATTTTTAATTAAATCACCAAAACAGAGCTTATGTGTTACTCTTAAAATGAAACAAGTACAAGGACAAAATTAGAATGTATGGCACGAACAACAAATTAACTAAAAATTAAGTTACGAATACCTGAAATATCGATTCAAGTTCAAGGTAATTTAATCTTGAATATTGAAATGAACGATGAATTAAATGTAATTAATTACATTGAGTAAGAGGCATAAAATTAAATTAGCATAGTTCCCTTGATTATTAATTGCGTTTATTGAAACTACCTAAATAGTCTGTTTTTTAATGAAAACAGTATTTTAATAAAAATCTAATACCTTCAGATTTTTGGCGCTTTAAACTTTTAAGGGTGTTTAAGTGTATGTTAAAACACCACAAACAGTCTAAAAATTTCAGATCTAGAGTTTCTAGATTAATTAACAGCATACGTTTACTAGGTACTAGTCAGGAAATAAAATTAAAAAAAAAAAAAAAAAAACTGTAGCCGAACATGGGCAATTAATTCTTTTAATATTTAACAGACAAGAGTTACAACTATTTTCTTAATCCAAAATGAGATCACATCTTACTAATATAACGAATTATTATCGTTACGACTCTAAGTGGAATTTTTACACTCGTTTCTTTTTTTGAACTACCGTTTGAAGCAGAAATTTAAAATTACCGAATAAAATTCTTGTTTTAAATTTCCTTTTTTTTTCTGTGAGCGGATATCAGAGAATAATATAAAGTACTTTAAAGTAAAACTCAAAAGCTAAACGTTAATAAGAAAAAAGAAAACAAATTGCAGTGTGATAAAATATGTGCATGAAAAACTTGAAAATTTTTTCACCTGGTTAAATGGGCAATGTACTTGACAATCTCATTATAACAACCGGTAGGTTCGGAAAAAGAGTTGCTGGCTAAGCTGCTGCTGGAGTTCATTGTCGATCGTTCCAAGCGCATGCGTTCCATCTCGCGTTTCTTTGTCTCCGAAAACTGAGTGGCAATGACAACGAGGCACAGGTTGATCATGAAAAAAGAACCGATCTGGGAAAGACAAATTTTTTAGTTGGACTAACACTTCTTTTACTGAACTAGTATAAAATGTATACTTATAATAGGAGCCTAATTCCGAACAGGGAAAATGATATCTCTTAATATGTAGATCAAATGAGATTGGTACTGATACAAATAAAAAAAATATGATGTGTACACCACATGACTTCCTTGTAAGAAATTTTAAAGTATACGCATTTTTTCCTGCATTTGATTTAAACTTACTTCATCGAAGTTCATTAGAGATAAATTTCTCATTCAATTAATTCAGTTCTTACTTCGCGGCAAGGCAAAAATGCATAACAACCTCAAAATATCTATATTAAAAATTGAAAGATATAGAAAAACATAAAACAGCAAATACATTTAAAACAATTAAAAAAAATTTACAGTTTCAATTACAGTTTCTACGTATAAACAATGCCGCCAGCGGGCAAGAAGGCAGATTTTTCAGTGCACAAAACTGAAAGTTTGCTTTCGATCTCACTCGGGAAGAAGCCACTGAAGGCGTAGAAACTGACTTAATTTGCTGTAGAAGCTATGCTGAGTCAATAAATGGGACAATTTAATAACTTAATGATAATTCATGAATGGCTTAAGCATAATTTAATTTGTAATAATTAAAGAAGACGTTCCTTTGTCGTTGCGAAGCTTAGTTTCTCTAGATTGGCAACAAGTCCAGTATTTTGCTAGATTTAAATGTAAACAAATATGGCGCTAGGGTAAAAAATTAGGCTTAGCCGCACTTAAACAACTTTTAAATTGTTGATAATTCTACTGTAATAACGTGCGGGTGAACTAAAGGGTAAATATAAAATAACATGCGGGTTAACATAAAAACCTTAAACGGAAGATAAGAACAACATAATTCAATCTTTTTAAAGCAAAAATTGCAAAATTTATAAACATAGAAGAATAAAGAAACTGAGCTCACTGAGCCGAGTAATAAAGTGGATATAAGTAAGGTATAACAAAATATGATAGCTGACTTCAAAAAATACGTAGTGTATTCGGAAACTAAGTACCGTTTCATTCTAGCGCCGTCGCAGCGCTGTGGTAGGCGTCTCGCGCATGCGCACTAGTCTTTCTTGTTCACTGACATTCAATTGACGCCATTTTGGTTGCTCTATGTTGGTTTTTCAGTTTGCTGTGCACATTCAAAATGTTTAAGACAATTAGTTCTCCTGCTGACTGTGAGATTCGTGCCGTGATTAAATTTTTGAACGCGAGGAATGTTAAACCAGCCGAAATTTATCGTCAAGTGACAGGAGACAAGAGACCACTGGGTGAGCAGCTGTGCGGCCATGAAGACTTTCAGCTTTATTGCTCACTCAGTGGGACCACGTTTATTTAAAATTTTATTACAATAATATTACAATAATATATTTTATATTACAATAATTCATAAATAGTTCACTGTTCATTATAGTGCACAGTTCATAAGTCTGTTAAAGTTAATTTATCTGTTGAAGTTAATAATTAGTCTGAAGTAAGTTCTGATAAAGCTCTGAGAAATTTTATAGTTAGTGTGAAGTAAGTTTCATATTTGTTGATTGAAGTTGGGCTGTCTTGAAGTGATGCTAATTATGCCGAAAAAATGCTGATGTATCGTCAAGTGACAGAAGTTTACGGTGAATACGCGATAAGTGATGGAATGGTGAGAAAGTGAGTAAGAATGTTTAATGCAGGTCGAACAAATGTCCACGCCTTGGCTCGGAGTGGTCGGCCTTCTGTTGTCACCGATGATTTGGTAAGAAAAGTTGATGAAGCAATTCATGAGAACAGACGCTTCACAATGACAACTCTTTCAGAGGCATTTCCACAAATTTCACGTACTGTTTTGTGTCTGACCGCTTGAATTATCGCAAACTGTGTTCCCGATGGGTTCCAAAAAATGCTCACTGATGTTCACAAAACAAAGCGACTTGGTAGTGCCCTGACATTTCTCACGCGGTACAGCGATGAGGGAGAAAACTTTTTAAACCAAATTGTGACAGGTGATGGAACTTGGGTGTGTCATTTCACACCAGAATCGAAGCAACAATCGATGGAGTGGAGACACACTCATTCTCCGAAAAAACAAAAGTTCAAAGTGACAATGTCATCACAAAAAGTCATGTGCACTGTCTTCTGGGATAGGAAAGGCGTTTTGCTTACTGAATTTCTTCCCAGAGGTGAAACCATTAATACGGCACGATATTGTGAGACTTTAACAAAACTAAGGCGTGCCATTCAAAACAAACGAAGAGGAATGCTCAGTAAAGGAATTGTGTTGCTCCATGACAATGCTCGGCCCCATATTGCTGGTGACACTCAATCGTTAATTCGACAGTTTCATTGGGAGCAGTTCGATCACCCGCCGTACAGCCCGGACTTGGCGCCGTCCGACTATCACTTGTTCCTGCTCATGAAGCGCGAGCTTGGTGGCAAGCGCTTTGGATCTGACGATGACAGGAAAAATGCTGTGGAGTCGTGGTTATCGAAACTGGGGGGGGGGGTGTTTCTTTGACGATGGTATACAAAAACTGGTCACCCGCCATGACAAATGTTTGATCATTGGCGGAAACTATGTTGAAAAATAGTTTAAGACATGTATTTTCATGTAAAAATAACATTGGATTCGAAAAAATTGTCTTACTATTTTTTTTTTTTTTTTTTTCAAAACGGTACTTAGTTTCCGAATACGCCTCGTAATTGGTGACCTCAAAATTAACGTTTCTAGATTTGGTGCTCTTCCCCTAAATTCATCTGTTCTTCCATATTCTATCATTTGAAATTACATAACCCTGCTTGAAAAGGGTAACTAAAACTGATATTGATCAATCATAGCTTAGAAACTTTCTGCACCTACGTAGTATAAATACGGCTTTGCGAGGAACTACGTCCTTTTTTTCTTCCTGACTTTTGTTATGCAAATAACTCTGTGCTGCTTATGCTCTCCTGCCTGAAATGACGTAGTTTCCATCTATCTGTGCATATAAAGAGTTAATGTATTCAAATAGGATCTTCAAAATTTGAAGGTTATTGATTCTTTTCGTAATCTTTGAAGATTATTTTCAAAATGAAAATGAATAATCTAAATTATGGGAATTGAAGTCACATCAATCAATCAATATATAGGATTTTTCAATTAGATTCAATTTCTCCAACAGTTTACTTGTGAGCCAGGAAATAGAAAGCAAATTAAAAAACGAACTTTAGAAATACTGAGAACAGAAAAGTAGATATGTACGAAAGTGTCCTAGGAATAATTCACCTCAATCCATAATGGAACATTAAGGGATAGTCGCCTGAATAAATAAATCTAACATCTTTAAATGGTGGCTCTGAAGCATTTAAAATTAATGCGATATCGCTTTTGACTTACTGAATGTAATTTGCAGACTTAATTGTCTATTTTATTTCAAGTTGTGCACTGCGCATTGAAAAATATTTCTTTGTAATTCTTATGATTAATCTAATTAAAAAGAAAATTCTACAACCAGTTATAGAGAATTAAGAGTTATTTTACTGCATAATCAAGAGTTTTTTTTTTTTAAGTTTCGACAAGTTATCTTCCTTACTGCGATCCGCTTACACAAGCGCAAATTGAAATACAACAGATTTATTTGTCCGCTTCTGCTGAAGTATAGATAAAGCGAGAAATTGCAAACTAAAATGGCGATTAGTTATTAACAACAAGGCGTAATATTTTATGCGACGTGCCATAAAATTTGCAATCATCAAAATCAAAAGATGTGAAACAAAGCATCTACGTAGTTTTATTCTTAGCAAATTAATGCAAGCACAGACAATCCTTGAGTGGCAATGGGAATCGATCCGGCCTTCCACTAATTTCTTCCAAACATATAGCCGCTAGCTCTTAACAGCATGTGTACTCGTTACTCCATAAGAAGCTAATTTCAATTAATCTTCTTCAATTTGTACACTGCTTCGCACATACTTTAATTTACATGATCTTCTGGTTTGAGCGAATATTTGTGACGTGAATCAGAGGGAAGATAAAACAGTTTCTAAATTAAATTTAACTATTAGTAAAACACAAATAATTGTTACAACTTAAATTTATATTCCTATATTATATTTAATAATATTAGGCCTACTAGCCGCCGAGCAGTAAAAGCCGCTGAACACTGGTATTTCGGCCAGCAGTTTGAGTATCGGCGAAACGGCTGGCTGCATGGGCGTTTTCATTGTTTTCCCTATGTGTAACAGTAGCCCACCAGCGGCTGAGCGGTAAAGTCGCTGAACACTGCTAGTTCGATCCGAGGTTCGAATCCCGCGAACGGGCTGGCTGCATGAACGTTTTTGTGGTTTTCCCCATGTGTAACGTGTATACGAGCCAGTTTCCCTTCGTAAATCCTCGACGAAGGCATCTCTCCCCTTAGGCAGATAGCCCTAGCGTTGCTTTGCCATAATTAAATAAACCAAAACCAAACCCTATATGTAACATAGATACGAGCCAGTTTTCTTTAAAATGTTTTCCTCAAGACATCCTTCCCTTTCCGTGTAGTGCCTTAAGGCGGAACACTTAATAAATAAATAAAGATGAAAGAATATAAATTCCAATATTAAAAAAAATTAAATATAACATTAAAGTTAAGAATATTTAGTGCTAAGAAAAAAATATTTGTTACTAATCATTATCAGCATGATGATATCAATGTTTAAATTACATCCTTAATAATTAAGTTTGATATTAAAATTTATTTCATCACGATCTTTTATTAACTTTACCTTTAATGTATAACTGCAATAACACAAGTCTACAAAAAAATTCATAAAAAGTTGTTTTAGCTTTGTTTAGTTTTTATGCTGATTTCGAGTGACACTGGTTTTTCTTTATCACGTAAGGTTTGTCTTCAACTAAGTAAGACTTTTAAGAAAAATTAACAAAAACATAATTTTTTATGCATGTTTGTTTTATTTTTAGTCAACAACTATTAGTCAACAACGCAAAAATACATGAAAATTTACTAAAACTAGCATTG